AAAAAAAATAGCATAAGCAATGACCTCATCTATTTCCTCATCTTTGTATAGCTAGCATTTCAGTGCTTTGAACAAGACACGAGAGTAGTAATTAACCCCCCTAAACAAAGAAAAAACTCAACAACTGATTTGAGTCCGTTGAATTATAAACATTTTTGTTCGATGGATTTAAAAGACTGTCCCACATCTCCATTAACGATAGACAAATTTAGAAACTGAAGTTATTTCTTACGTAAAACAAATATGTTAACTTTATAAGAGTATTTTTTTTTTCTATTTCTGAAAACGGAAATAAGTAGAAGTGCTTATCAGAAACAGAAGTCACTGGCCTACACTCACACGTGACACGACACATGAAAGTGATGAAACTGAAAACCCTACTTTAACACCACAAAGCAAACTTTCACACTCAAACGAAAACTTTAGGAGAGAAAAAAGAAGAGCTTTCTTTGTGTGTTTGTTCTTTCAATGGAGCTCCTAAGCACGACCAATCTCTTAGTACTATCTCTTCTGATTCTTGTAGTTCCGAAGATATGTGAAGCTTGTCGGATCCTTGTTTGGCGGCCATTGATGCTATCAAGAAAGTTCAAGAAACAAGGAATCTCAGGTCCAAAATACAGGATCTTGCAAGGAAATTTCCCCGAGATAAGGAAGATGAAGCAAGAAGCTAAGCTTACGGTTCTTGATCCAAATTCCAACGATATCTTCCCTCGTGTTTTGCCTCATTTTCATCAATGGATGTCTCAATACGGTGCCGTTTTTAGTTCTCCATCTCTCTCTTGTTTGATCTTCCTTTTTTAAGGTTTGTGTTTCATTAGATAAAGATTCGTAACTCACAAGTTACCCAATGGTATATTAGGAGAAACGTTTACTTACTGGCAAGGAACAGAGCCAAGGATATGCATCTCAGATCCTGAAGCTGCTAAACAGATCTTATCGAACAAGTTTGGTTTCTTTGCTAAAACAAAGACAAGACCAGAGGTCCTTAAACTTACTGGTAATGGACTTGTCTTCCTAGATGGTCTTAATTGGGTTCGTCATCGAAGAATCTTGAACCCTGCATTCTCCATGGACAAAATCAAGGTTTTTTTTTGTTTTAGTAAATTTGTTCCTTAACATATCGATTAGAAGACGGTAGAAGATATAATTTCTTTGTGTTATTGATTAGCTCATGACCAAATTAATGGTGGATTGCACTTTGAGGATGTTGGATGAGTGGAGAAAACAAGAGACTAGCGGAAAAACAGAACAAGTGTTGATAATGAACACTGAGTTTAAGAGATTATCCGCTGATATTATAGCGACTGTTGCGTTTGGAAGCAGTTACGCGGAAGGAATCGAAATGTTTAAATCACAATTAGAGCTTCAAAAGTGTTGTGCTACTTCCATTACTGATGTCTTCATCCCTGGAACTCAGTAAGTGTGTAATCACTCTGCTATTTTCTTAAAGTTCTTTGTTGCTTAATTCTAAGGATATGTTGTTTTTTTGTTTCTTGTATTACAAGGTACCTTCCTACGCCTACGAATCTTCAAATATGGAAGCTTGATAGGAAAGTGAATAATACGGTCAAAAGAATCATAGATGCGAGGCTAGAATTGAAAGCGAAGAACGTGGAGACAGATTACGGAAATGATCTTCTTGGAATCATGTTAGCAGCTGGAAGATCTAACGAGTCTGAGAAAATGTTGAACATTGATGAGATCATAGAAGAATGCAAGACGTTCTTCTTCGCGGGACACGAAACTACTGCGAATCTATTGACATGGAGTACGATGTTACTTAGCTTGCATCAAGATTGGCAAGAGAAACTCAGAGAGGAAGTTTTCAACGAATGCGGTAAAGACAAAATACCAGATTCAGAGGCCTGCTCCAAACTCAAACTGGTAAATGCAAAATCGCTAAAGAGTTTCTTGCGGCTAAAGTAACCTATTACAATTACAATAGGTTACTTGTGATTGAAGAAAACTGTTTATGCTAAGCTAACGCTTACGGTTAACCGCTGCAGATGAACATGGTGTTGATGGAGTCACTTCGTCTATACGGACCAGTGTTATATATGATCCGAACAGCATCAGAAGATATGAAATTAGAAAGCCTAGAGATCCCTAAAGGCACGACCATAGTCCTCCCGATCGTGAAGATGCATAGAGACAAGGCCGTTTGGGGAAGTGACGGCAATAAATTCAACCCGCTGCGATTCAAAAACGGCGTTTCACGAGCCGCTAATCACTCAAACGCTCTCCTAGCGTTCTCAATGGGACCAAGAGCTTGCATTGGTCAAAACTTTGCCATGATGGAAGCCAAGACCGTTCTCGCCATCATACTTCAACGTTTCCGGCTAAAACTATCCGGCGAGTATAAGCACGCGCCGGCTGATCACGTCACTCTTCAGCCTCAGTACGGTATACCGGTAATTCTTCAACCTATCGACGGTTGAAGTAAAATAATTCCACTTTTTTACTATATGGACCTTTATTGGCTAATTAATAAAGTGGGCTTCAATTAGAAATCCATTTTGGGCCGACCCATTTATAATCGCTCCTAACTGCGATTTAATGTAACACATGTCCTGATACCAGGCGTTAAAAGACTACAGTCAAATCGACTGGTCAAATGATCCTACGGTCAGCTTGATCCTATTAATTATTTATACAATACGACCATTATAATAATAAAAGAAAAGAAAAAAAATCTTAGTAATATTATAAAGGAGATGTAAACATCGTATGGGTCCGGGCTGATCAGACACGTTGATTCATGATTCGATAGAGAAGTTTTTGAAATTTCTTCAGTGAAAATGCATAAGTTTAAATAAGATAAATAACATGAAAATTAGTGATAAATAGTGAAAAAAACAATTAAATACAGAAATGAGGATCCACATGATAAAAAGTTTGAAAGAGGAGTGACGAAGAAAAGTGTTAACCACATACGACCATATCCCTCTCGGCACCACAATCTCTCTTAACATTTATTGTGTAGTTAATTATGAAATGGATAGCTATTATTTCTTCACACCACATATATTTTATGTTGATGCAACCTATGCCAAACAAAATATATACACATGCTTTTATATATACATAATCATTTCATTAAATTTCTCAACTACGATGTATGATTTTTCATACCACATATATTGGTGAATGCAAACATAATTTCCGATTTTAATCTTTTTTTTTTATAGGTTAGGAGGATGTTTAATAATTTTTACAATATCGAAAATAGTTTCACTGTAGCATGTGAAAACAACTTCGAAATGGCTTGTTTGCTTTTTAACCAAAAACGAAATGTTAATTATGTGAATAATATATGCTGTTCATGTAAAAGTGTATTTATAAGTATTATTTTAGTATGCGTGGAAAAGTCTATAATGATATTAAAAGATAAAATTATAATGAATTATTAAAGTGAAATCGTATTTATTTATTATTGATTGTAGAAAACATCAGCAAAGGCATAATACGTGTTGGTGTTATCAAATTATTAAATCAAAGGATATCTTTTGTAATTACTAAACTACCCCCAACAAGCTGCATGTAACAAGAAGGGGTAATTTCGAAACTATAAAGATCACTAAACTGATCCCGCATTATGGGAAAAAAAAAGTAGTATAGTTTAGAGCATATGAAATATTATCAGTTACAATGAAATGTAATAAAACGGTCGATTACCTAAAGCAACAATTTTGGATTATGCATTAAACACGCGTTACAGGTGTCGTAACTTATATAACAGTGAGAGTGATAGATTTGGAAATTGTCTGAATAATCACTCTAAATTAAGACAAAAATAAGAAAGGGTCAAGGTCACTTGTGACGTTAGGGTTACAAAAGTGTCGAATTTTCTAACAAAAATTATAAAATCAAACACAGAGGGCAAATACGTAATTCACGCAAAACCCGAGTCTCGATATAAATAACATCATCTGGGTTAAGGACGAGTTGACTCGTTAAAGCACTG